GCAAACTGTACTCCCTTCCAAATTATAAGATTTGGATTTCTTTACATACATAGATTTTATTATACACTTAAATATATATCTAGCGTCGGTCCTTGAATTTTAAGGACCCTCTGGCGAACTCGTCGCGACGGACCCTCTAAACCATGTATAAAATCTTATAATATATTTATAGGCATAAATTTTACTTGCAAAGTGAAAGCAAATTCAATAATATATTTTTGATTTAACCAGTCTGATAATTATCTTTTTTGTTTTCTTTTCTTAGCCCCTGACAAATGTTTCTTAGGTAATATTCTAAAATTCTAACACCTAAATTAAAGAAAAAACATGACTATATGAATACAAAGTACTAGAAGTCTGGAATACTATACAAATAATTAATTTAGATTAAAAAAGAACAAGGAAAAAATACCTAGGGTCTAGACATGAACAAGAACAATTGATCGACGATCGCAATTCGCAAGAAGGCAACAACCAAGATGTCATCGACGTGGAGCCCTACCTAGTCGCCGCCGTCGTGCGCCGTTCTCCAGCAAACGGCAATCTAGCTCTCCGTGCCGCGTGTGTCTGTGAGTGCGTCGGGCGTCGCCGCATCGGCGCGACTGGAACTCACAGAGTCGCGATCGTGATCAGACTGCGGCGCCCTCGCCACCTCTCTGCCCGAGGGCAACGGTGAAAACTGGGAAAGAATGACAGAGAGGCCGACGTTGTCTTCTTGGGCCGACTCTTCTCATTAGTTTGCTAATATCTAATGGACTATAGGGGTCTCAGGGTTTGTATACCTAGACTTGGGCCCCTCCCCTGCCTGGGCCCTCGGCCGTCGCACCCCATGCCTACCCCCTAGGGCCGGCACTGGTTTAGATCCACCAACTAAATTTTAGCGGGCTAAATTTAACTGCTAGGGATCAAAACGGCTCAACTAAAAGACCAGCTCAAGTTTAGCTGAGTTTAATTACTTTAACCCAGCTAAACCTAACTAAAATTTAGCTGAGTCTAAGCTGGAGGATCCAAACATCCTAGATAAAATTTAGCTTAGAGAACATTTATCTGACTAAAGTTTAACTTTAAAATTTTAGCTAGCTAAACTTTAGTTAGGTGGATCCAAATAACCCTGTATCTAGATACATGCAAAAAAAAAAAGTCCAAACGTCTTGTAAATTAAAACAGAGTGAGTAACAATCAATGTCGGATTGAGACTTGTCTTGTAATGCCACGTAAATTAAACGGCTGCTCCTATGGACTCTATAGAATATAATTACACGGACAGACGACTCTCCAAAAAAATAACTGTCAAGGAGACGAGAACACTTACATATTTTCAGTGCGGACGATGATGCAGAAGTATAAGAGGAGGTGCAGGAATACGTGGAGCTTTGAGTGCCTGGAACTCATCTCATCTACTGCTGGTTTGCCGGCTCTCACTTTCATACGATGGCGTTCGATTTTTGGCTACTTATATATATAGCAGCAGAGCTAGAGGCCGGAACATTTTCTTTTTCGAAAAAAAATATATGGTTTACGTGCAGCATATCACAGATTCACAATGCATGGCGTGCATAGAATGGCACTTCGCGTGTGCGACCATCCTCGCGTGTGCGACCATCCTGATGATGCTCCCTACTTTTCAGCGTATGACAGATTCACAGTGCTGTCGTCAGTTCATGGCGTGGCGTAGGCGTACGTAGAATGGAACTGTGCGTGTGCGACCATCCTGTGCGTGATGCTTTCTTACCCGTGCGACACGGTAAGTCGCTGCCTAACAATGCGCGGCAGTATATAGGACCGTTTAGGGCATGTCTCTAAACTTTAGATGTCTAATAAAATTTAGAGCTAATTAAAGCTCTAAACAAGTAGTCTAAAATTAGCTCTAAACTTTAGCACACCTCATATCAGAGCTTTGAGCTTAAAAATGAGCTAAAGTGCTCTAAAGCTTTCAGCGCTCTAAAGTTTAGAGGAGAGGATCCAAACATACACTCAGTCATACTTTGATGAGTACTTTCACTTCCTATCCAAAAAATAATAATTTTTAACACTAAATTAATAGGAGGCTCTAAAGTTTCTGCCTTTTAACAGCAGAAACAATTTTTAGAAATCAAACCAAACACAACCAAAATATTCACTGCAACTTCTTCCTCGAAGAAAGCTAAAGACATGCATTTTTTTATCTAAAAACATAATAAAATAAAATCAAGACAAACCACACAATGGAATCACTCATATATTATCCAGACATTTGCGAAGTACTGCTCCTCCGTCCCCACCACCCCAACAACAAAAAATCTAACTTTATGAGAAATCAAACCATTGTATCCTTAGGTTTAACCAAATATATATATATAGAAAAAACTACTAATATTTAAGCAAAAGGTATCACTAAATTAATTATGTAACATATTTTCATGATTAACATATTTAAATATATAAATGTTAATATAATTTTCTATGAACATAGTTTTAAAATAAAAAATATTTAACTTAGTTTTAAAATAAAAATTATTTAACTCTTTGAGAAACGAGATTTATATTATTATTTTTTGGACAGGGAGTGAGAGTACTCATCAAAGTACGACCAGAGCCTGTTTTTATCCTCTCCTCTAAACTTTAGAGCACTGAAAGCTTTAGAGCAATTTAGCTCACTTTTGAGCTCTACAGTGCAACTCCAAGAGACTTGGTAAAATTAGATGCCAAATTGTGAGATTTAGCCATTATATAAAATAGAAAACCCATCTAAAATAGAAAGTTTTAGAACAGCCTAGTTAAATTGAAAAACAAAGATAGCAAGCAGGGCTCGTTAGAAAAATATGGCCAGCGAGAATGGTGGAATAGCCAGTTGGAAAAAATAGAAAACAATATAGACAAGCTGTTGAAATGCTTTTTTGAGAGCACAATAGCTATAAATGGCTTCACGAATACAATTAACCAGTCTGTTGGAGTTGCACTAAAGCTCTGAGGTGAGGTGAGCTAAAGTTTAGAGCTAACTTTAGACCACTTATTTAGAGCCTTATAATTAGCTCTAAATTTTAGAGGAAGAAATCAAACAGACCCTAAACGGTCCTATTATACTGCCGCGCATCGTTAGGTACCGACTTACCGTGTCGCACGGGTAAGAAAGCATCACGCACAGGATGGTCGCATACGCACACTTCCATCGTTTGGTTCCGACACGGTTTTCTCTTAGATTTTTCTGCCATTCAACGGGTTTGTTTGGTACAGCTTATAAACTATTTATGACTAAAATAAACTGAAATCAACAGCCAAATGCTACGCTTTTCAGTAGCTTATTCTGGTCACACTTATTTCCATAGCTTTCATTTGTACTAAAAAGCAGAAGCTAGATCTACCAGCTTATTTTGACTACCACTTTTACTCTATTCGTGCAGTTTATCTGAAAAGCTGTGAATCTGACCGGATATCACTGATATTATATTTGTTTTTATATTTCTGACCGGATTCAGATTCGAATGCGGATAGTGTCAATCATGCCGGATAGAGTACGATTGGATATCGATATTATAAATATGCGATTTGAGTATTCGGATACGGATACGATATCGGATGTTGAATATTCGGACTCGGATACGGACGGATCAAAACCCCTATAAACGAATTCGGTCTCGAATACGGTCGAAAAATATCCGTACCATTTTCACACCTACCCGCCGACACCAGTCGTCAGCCTCGCACATATTATAAACACAAAAGGCAACATATAGATCTACCTGTAGCTGGCCTTTGGGTGGACTTGTTGCAGGGAGAGTCGAGCAACTACGGAGTACGTGGCCTAGACAGTCTGCAGGCCCGTCTTAGAGGGGAGAGCAGCCGGTGCGACGGCCAGGACCCATGCCACGAGGGGCCCATGAGTACATCTATGTATATAGTATTTTTTTAATGAAATGGAAATTTAAATGTCCATACACTTAGCACAAGTCTAAAATTAAGGAATTAGCTTGTCATCACTTCCTATTCTGATATTTAGCTATTCTCGATTGCCAACCGATCCTGATCAAGCAATCATTTCGCCTCCCAATTGCCTAGACCAATTGCCAAACACAGTTTCTAGTTCGTTTGTTTTTTATATATAAAGAGTTTCTAGTTATCTTCGCTAGGTTTGACAAGCGTGTTACCTCTATGGAGGGTAAACGCCGACGCATATGGCCGTATCGGCGGCACACCACCAAGCCAACCAAAGTCCAATCCAAACTCCAAAGAGACGACACAATGACGCACAGTCGTCAGACTGCATGTGGACCAGTATTCTTCCTAGCCCTAGGAGAGCTCCTCTTGCAGTTGCAGGACAGAATGGCAGATAGCTCCAACCATGCTATTGCTATTTCCCCGGACTGCCTATTTCATGATAGGTCCAAACACATGCAGCGATGCAAATGCTGTTGGTACAGTCCACGCGCTCGTGCTCAGAATCAGCGAAAACAGGCATGTTGACGTTGAGTTTACCCACGGCACCGAGTTCTGAAAATGGTGTCCCAATGGGGGAATACAACCAAGCTGCCGGCATCGCTGTTGGTGTGTTGGAACCCACATGGATCCAATAACACAACTTTATACGGCTACAGGGACAGCTGTGTTTACCTGAACAACAGTTTAACATGAACTACATGCATAGGTGGCCTGCCCCTGCAGCACCGCTGGACCCCAACAGTTCCAAGTAGCATCAAGCTTGGGCCATCTGCACATGATCATCAAAGAGTCAGAATTCGGTAGAGCCGCAGATTCCATTGGTTGTTTCTTACTTCTCAAAAGCAGTTTGATTCTGCTTCCCGCATACTCTGTTTTTCAAAAGTAGGTTCAAATGAATGCTTTTCCCTATGCCATGGCATAATTACCTTTGGAAATCATAATCTTTGGTGAATAAGCCAGCGGGTTTATGAAAACTTCTGATTTCAGGTTCTTTTAGTAACCAATCAGTTGCGTAAGGGGCTACAGAACTGGATTCTACATGTGAAAGGACAAGAGGGCATATCTAAAAGATTCATGGACTAGAGCTATACCAATTTCGCAGCATTTCTGTTCTTCAGTGTCAAAACTGCTGCTTCAGCGAAGGCCTGTGCAGTTCGGGCCTCTGCTTCTGCAGCCTCTGCTTCCCTAGCAGCTGCTTCTGCTTCTGCCATGATAGCCTCTGCCTCTGCAACTGCATGAGCAGCGGCAGCCGCAGCTGCCTCAGCAGTCATAGTTGCCATACGAACCAATTCAGCATCAACTTGGGATCTCGTGAGGGTTCTACTAGCATCACTCCCTAATTTCAAGGGTTCTCCTTGCACGTCTTCCAGCAGCACCATCTTGGGGCTTCGGCCCTCTAAGCGTGGTGAACTAGGTGCTATCCTGTACTTCCGATTCACCTGCAAACTTCCACTGGTCATGCTGAAAAGCTCAAGGTTCTTCAATTTGAGAACATGCAACTTCTGATTGGATCAAAATATGAACATTCAGCAATGAGAGATGGCTCATTGGCTCATGGACACCATAAAGCCCACAAATCGAGTAGTGCTGAAAATAGCATTTAAAGTAAGATCAGCCGGAAACCTGCAGTCTAACAAGGATTCTACATGAAATTAAACAAGAAATCATTATGTAATAGACTAACAGTGGAGTATTGTGCATCACTAAACAAGAAATCAGTGCTTGCTAATACTGATAAACATGTTTGGCACTGTAATAATAGACAGATAGTAGAGTATGGTGCATGACTGAACAAGTCTATGCGTGTGCACCTTCTCAGAGCACATGCTTTATGGCCAAACATATGTGTCATGATAAACCTTCATATACTTGTATTCACAAATATGGCATATGAGTTGTTCCAGTTGGATGAAAACTAGGCTTCTGATGGTGTTATGCACAGATTTTACTTATCTAGGACTACTTCATTAGATGATATCATGAGAATGCACTAGTGTGGTGGTTGGCCAGTGGCCACCCAGTTGTGGTGCCATAGGACCAGGGTTTGAACCCTGGTTTTCACAAAAGGTCCCTCACTGTGTAACTGCTTTCAGAGATATACACAGTTGCATCCTGGGCAGTCAGCCTTCATGGCCTTCTTGACCATGTGATTACGGTTTCTCCTTAATGCAGTGCCTTGGGGGAGACCTTTCCCCCAAGAAGAGGTTTTTTTGGTGATAACATTAATTGAATTTACTCACGTGGTATCACCTAGTAGTTTCATCTTTGAATTAACTTTATTTCTCATAGCATAAAATGATGTAGAGAGTTACAAAAATCATATTTACCTTTAACAATTTCCCACTGGTAGCTAAATCCTTCAGTTTTGCAGACAATAAGTGATCAAAATCACTAGGTGGCCAATATTGCTCCTACATAAAACCAGGGTAAGAACCTGATTGTGCACATAGCAAATAAGACGACCATGACCCAGTTGGCCAAGAATTTTTATTAGCTAATAAGAAAGAACATGATGATTTCAAAATGAAATCAGAACTCTGCAAGAAGACATAGTGCAATAGCTAACTTTTGACCAACAAAAGGAGGAAATCTAATGTAGCTAGACATGCTTTTTTTATTGGATTCTAATATTTGATATCTGTGATATATCATTTTTATACAGTCAAATCAGGTGTACTGAAGTTCTGTTTCTGTATGAAACGGTGTTCATTATTTATTTAGGTGTTTAGGAGTAATGATCCTTGCAACAGATATGGGTGGCACCAGCCATCACTGCATAGGCAGGCAACCTGCCAACTTGGGCAAAATCATGAGTTCATGACGGCTGGGTAGTGCCACCTAGTTGATTTCTTATACACTTCTGTCAAAATAAAAACAATAAATTTATTATTAACAAGATATCTTGTGTATAAAAAGCTTTGGCTGACTAAATACAAACAAAAAGGCAAATAATGTTGACATTCAAAAGTAAAGGAAAATGGAAATGTAGGCAGACCATAAAGCATATTATAAGTCTATAAGTCCTAGAAAGAAACAAAAACAAGAGAAGAATGCACACCTCTATGTAATTAGCAATAGTAGTTCTGTGTGACCCTGTAGGCTCATTCAAGTTCTTTATAGCCTCCATTATAATATTGTCTAGCCTGCATTAAAGCCATTAAAGTAAGTGAAGACTTCAGTCTATCTAGTTTTCTACTGAGATAACAAAGAGAGGAAAAAAAGTTAAACGGCACAATTATGTATTATTACATTTATGCATATGCAATCACCTTGAGTGAGATTTCTTTGAATTTGAAGTATTCCACGCTGCAACAGGCACTGATGCTATAGGAATAGGATTTACATCAACAATCTCATCATCAACATCAGAAGTAACTGTGCTCAATGCCAACGAGTGATCATTATTCTTAGGAGCAGCTCGGGTTCTCCTCGTGGAAGTTCTCCCCCTGTCACGAGCACTCGATGAAGTGACAATTACATTCATGTTGCGCCATTTGTCCTAAGTAGTGATTAATAGAAAAGAACATATGAGCATTAAGATTGAAGATGAATCTGGAAATTTAAAAACCAAAAGACACATGATTTCAAGGAATACCCAAATATGGCAGTCCCTTCACTAAAGCAAACTTACGTAAAAAAAGGAATCGAGTGAATAGTTTTAACCTTTAGGTCAACATTCGAGCGGTAGCGCAATGTGGAGCTAAGTTCTGGATCATTCAATATCATACGCCAATTTCCAACTCCATGTCTCGCTACTCCAGCTCTAAGAGCAGCCTCTTCCTCAGAAGTCCACCTCTGTTTTAGAGCCCCCATGCGTAGGCCCAATCTTTTCAGTCAAATACAATATGAAGACGAATGTATACCTTCTAGCCTGGATTGTGAATTCAATCCATTAGAACATTGTAAAACTGAAAGGAATGTAACAACTGCTGGACTACAATAGATTAACACTACTGCAAACACTGAATCATCTGAAAACTCAATTCTAAGAATATTTTGGTAACAACAAACAAATCCAACATGTGCAAAAACTTATCATAAATAAATTCTTGTTTTAATATGTACAACATCCTGCCACTTGGCTAAAGAAGAAAATCAGGTTTGTACTACAACTTAAATATACCGAATATTAAGAAGGGAAGTCTAATGTACCACATAAAATCTGTACAGGCCTAGAAATTACTGAAGAAATATTTGCTGGTTTTCAAAGGCTCTGTTATTGTTCATGAATACAGCCTATGATATTCGTCATAGTATTACTCCCTTCGGTCAAAAGTAAGTGATGTTATAGACATCGGCACTGTCCCGAACACACAACTTTGACTACTGATTCCTGTTGTGATATATTATGAATGATCTGCAGTCCAAGTTTAGATTGGTTCTTTGCACACAACCCAAAAACATCACTTATATGTGACTGGAGGAGTACATATGAGTGAAAATGGCATAAAGTGGCCTCTATGATGTGATGAAACAGAGCTTCAAACTAGACTACTAGAGCTTGCAGAGCAACTTCAGAACTACTATTTTTTTTCTCAAAAAAGTGGTAACCGGCAATTCCAATCATATCCCAATAATCTTGTGAATTTCTATTTAAGAATTCCATTGCTATGGCATTAACAGCATGACCTAACCTCCTATGATACCAAAACAAACCAAGAAAAAGATTGATGCAAGACATAGACAACATGGGAGCATTTCATTTCATGAAAAGGAAACTGCTTCACCATCTCCATTTCTTACTGAAACTCCAAGGATGCCCTTTCCAACAAATCCTAACAAACTTAATGAATTGTAACACAGGAAGATGATGAGTTCAGGGTCAGGGGCGGACCCAGTAAAGTACATGGGTGTACCAATGTACGGCCAATATTTTTCGCCAAAAAAATCGCAGCTGGTACGCATAATAATACATAAATACACTTGCAATTAGATCAGATCCGAATATACAAATACCCATATAGGTTAAGTTAGGGTTCGCGTGCTCGGTTTCGCAACAGGAAGGGAAGAGAAGGGATGCGCATACCTGGTGGGTGCTCGTCCCCGGCCCGCGGAAGACCTGGCGAAGGAACCGACGAGGCTAGACCTGGGCGCCTGGCATAGGTCTGCAACGGCGGTCGCCCAGCTGCGGCGCTGCGCCACGCGAGAGAGAGTGTGAGAGAGCGCACACCCAGCCTAAACCCTTCCTTGCTGCTCGCCGCTCGGAAAATCGCTGCCCTATGTGGCGCTTGCCTCCGACCTCAAGCGTCAAGCCCCTCTCCTCTCCGGCTCTCCCACGTCAATGGCCAGCTAGTCCTGCACTCCTGCCACCCTGAGCCTGCGCTCCTCACTCATGTGATCCGGCATCAAGTGGGCACAAACATGTGCATTAGGAATATCTAGATAGCCATAAGGCCCATGGCCCACGGTCGTTAACACAGCCCATGGCCTGATGTTTCGGCCTAATCTAGGCACGGCCCGACCCGACCTGATGGTCATCGGGCCCGTGCCGGCACGTAGAGGCAGATTGCGGCTGCAAGCCAAGAACGGCGCGTGCAGGTTTCAACATGGACTGCAGGAGGCTTGGTGCGCGCGCGTCCGAGCGAGCGGCTTATTGCAACGTTGGATTCAGCAGGACGGAGCTAGGCACGAGCACGACCGCGTGCATGAGGGCGGTTCTGCCGGTGTCAAGAATGGCTTCAGATTGGAGCCGAACTTACGAAGGGCAACGCTCACTGCATGTAACGACGTCTCGTGACATCAGGATCGGTGATGCATGCATGCGTAGATGAGTTGGAAGGAATCAACATCTGGACATTTGTAGCTTGTTCGTTAGGTCGTATTTGGCTTATAAGTCATGACTTATCAGCCAATGAACTGTATTTTTTTCTCACATTAAACCAACTAATAGTATTTTCAATCATGGCTTATAAGCCAAATCAGTCCAAACGAACAGGGCGCTAGTCAATTTTCCGGCCGGCAGACCGATGGCGTGACGTGCAGAGGAAGTTGACGACTTGACTTCTGGACGACAGTAGTAGTGTAAGCTTGTGGGAGAAGCCGAACGCGTTTTTTTTTTTTTTTTGCACTTAAGGGCCACAATGTGAGGGCATGTGTCCTTATGGGCAAAATTTACTTTACCGGGAGAAGCTTTTGAGTTGTTTTGTTTATATTTCTTGCAGGGATGCACTGCCATTATATTGCCTTTTATATTAGTGTATAAGCTCGGAGGCTGAAATTCAAATTCAAATTCAAACTTAACCTACCGCATGATTTACCTTTTATATTATGACGATGATGCCAATTAATCTACTTCACTTGCTACGTACTGTAGATACATATATACCGCATAAGGCGTTTTGCATTGTCATAGATCTACCTACTTGATGACAATGATGCATATCATTGTAGTGCAATTGGTAGCTGGTAGAGGTAGCAGATTCGTACCGCTAAAAAATCGAGGATATTGACGTTCAAATCAATCTTGGCAGGGAACGTTGGCACGGGTGTCAGTGTCGAGGTCATCAACGCCTTCAACGATGACGTCGACGTAGAGCTTGTCGTGCTGTAAAATATGTTGTTGGTGGCTAGGACAACGTATATATAGTTCAGACAAAGCCTAAGAGCTTAGTAAAAACTAGAGATGGGCATAATTAACCAAAATCGAAAAAATGATCTGAAAGAACCAGAATGGAACCAAAGGAACTGAAACCGGAAAAATTGGTTCCTTATTCGGTTCCAGATAGCAAAGAAGCAAAATAACTGAGGAAAACTTTTGGTTTCTACTCTTACTCTTAGATGACTGAAAGAACCCAAATATATGAATTATTCTTCACTTACTTGCATTTTGTAAGACTATCAGCCTGTTCGCTTGTTGGTTTGTTTGGTTTATGTATAATGTATCATTTTGAATTGCTATGTATTTGCGTTACTACATTATTATTATTATCAACTCTCCGATGACATCATGTGCCACCCTAAGATCCAAACCCCTCACTTGACCTTCTCAGTTGTCACCAACCACCTTGATGCACTCAATATTTGCCCATTTACAAGCCAAGAGACAATTGCACAACACACGTGAACTTGACATCTTGGTTATTTCAAATCATGCTCAACCAAAGCTGGGTACATATCCATCACTTATCATTTATGACACGGGCACATATCCATCAATCACGTTATCTTAAATTTATATAAATCTGGTTAAAACTACATAAATTTGACTATGTGAGATCATGTGATGAAAAATTGGCTAGCATTAAATTTGTAATTGCAAAGTGACTAATAGAATGGCATAATATAATATGTTGATAAAATATAATTGGTTGATCATATGGTTTCTTTCTTGATGGTGTAGTCATGGTACAGTTTAATATCCTCATGTGAGTGGCGTTGCGCGGACTAATTTGAATCAAGTCATCGTGTTTATTCATGTGTAATGTCTAATTTAATATGTGAAAGTTTGAGGTCAATCAGAACTATAGATTTTTTGTCGAGATTATTTCTAGTAGAGGCACAGTATTCTGTTTAGAACTGTAAGCTAGACTTAGAATATGTTTTGTGTTTAGGGAGAAGCCGCAATCATTCATCCGCCTCTGATTGTTTTTTATAATGTGAATCGATTCTACAGACTAGAACAAAAGTAAAACGACCTGCGATTTGGAACGTAGCGTGTGCTATAGGTAGCTAATGATACCGTCCACGACGAGCGTAATCCATGACGCTTTTCTGAAAAGGATGTGCATGCATCGCACGAGTCCACGACATATTGTTAGCTTTTGCTTTGAACTTGTTTGGATGTGCATGTATTTATCTCAATTCATATGTGTTGAGGTCTTGTTTGAATGCGCATGTATTCGTCTCCATCCATATGTGTTGAAGTGGATTGAAGTGGAGTTAAACTAAATTACAATATATTCTACTCTAACACATGTGTATTGAGGTGGATACATATGCATCCAACCAATGTACGGCCAATATTTTTCGCCAAAAAAATCGCAGCTGGTACGCATAATAATACATAAATACACTTGCAATTAGATCAGATCCGAATATACAAATACCCATATAGGTTAAGTTAGGGTTCGCGTGCTCGGTTTCGCAACAGGAAGGGAAGAGAAGGGATGCGCATACCTAGTGGGTGCTCGTCCCCGGCCCGCGGAAGACCTAGCGATGGAACCGACGAGGCTAGACCTGGGCGCCTAGCATAGGTCTGCAACGGCGGTCGCCCAGCTGCGGCGCTGCGCCACTTGAGAGAGAGTGTGAGAGAGCGCACACCCAACCTAAACCCTTCCTTGCTGCTCGCCGCTCGGAAAATCGCTGCCCTATGTGGCGCTTGCCTCCGACCTCAAGCGTCAAGCCCCTCGCCTCTCCGGCTCTCCCACGTCAATGGCCAGCTAGTCCTGCACTCCTGCCACCCTGAGCCTGCGCTCCTCACTCGTGTGATCCGGCATCAAGTGGGCACAAACATGTGCATTAGGAATATCTAGATAGCCATAAGGCCCATGGCCCACGGTCGTTAACACAGCCCATGGCCTGATGTTTCGGCCTAATCTAGGCACGGCCCGACCCGACCCGTTGGTCATCGGGCCCGTGCCGGCACGTAGAAGCAGATTGCGGCTGCAAACCAAGATCGGCGCGTGCAGGTTTCAACATGGACTGCAGGAGGCATGGCGCGCTCGCGTCCGAGCAAGCGGCTTATTGCAACGTTGGATTCAGCAGGACGGAGCTAGGCACGAGCACGACCGCGTGCATGAGGGCGGTTCTGCCGGTGTCAAGAATGGCTTCAGATTGGAGCCGAACTTACGAAGGGCAACGCTGACTGCATGTAA